GACTGCAACCTGCCTCTGTAAGGCAGTTTCTATCACAGACACACTATAGAAAGACAGCCGTGAATTAAGAGCATGGGTGTCCAGCCTTTTAGCTTGCCTGGGCCACACTGAGTAAAGAGGAATTGCCTTGGACTGACAAAGGTCGCTCCAAAAGTATTTATTTCCATGGAAACTACAAAGAGCACAACACCACTATTTGACAGAGCAAAGTCTCAGCTCCAAAACAAGATAGTCTCCAAGACAACACAGTCACCACCATTAGCTCTGCACTTTTGCCAGTGATGAACAAGAGTTGCATGCAACAGTAATAAAAATTTTGCACCTGCAGTGGTGACTTGCTGTCATTGTCACCACTGCTGCAAGCACCACCCACAGCCTTACTGTGCTCCTATCCACTGCTTGGTCTCCATCAGTGTTCAGCAAGCATCAGTGAGTGTCAATGGGTGCCATTTATTTCTGAATGGAGGAATTCAATTTGCTCCATACACACTTCCATGTAGGACAATATTGCGTCAGACTGCCCTACTGCTGCCATTTGTGACACAGCAACAAAATGTAACAGCATACTGGTGGGAAGCATCAACTTGTACTGCCATACCACCAATGTCTGCCTCTGACACTGTGGGCCAATATAATAAAACAGGAGACATTACTTTTGGAGTAGCCTTCATAAAATGCATAATATAGTTCATTTATACAAATAACAAAACTTCTTTTTTTTTTTTTTAATTAAAAAAAGAAAGCAACAGAACTACAAAACTAGTGGGAGATGTGACTCTGTTTTTGCGAAACCAATGCATCATTGTTTGTTCTGATGTCAGTGGCAGCAACTTTTACTGAGTTCTCAGTGTTCATCAGAGATTATTGATGAAATTTTGCTCTTCCTGTGCTTCATCCCCGAAAACAGTTATTCACAAATGTGTGTATTGCCAAAAAGCGATGACATGAATAAGGTGTGATTGAGAAGTGAGGAATGTTTTTCTCTGCAAAGATAGGACTTATAAAAGTGAAAAGACATGGTCAAATTTTTGAGTTGAATACCTGATTGCAACTCTATACACTCCATTTGAGAATTCCCAAGTATTTATGTTAAATGAAAATGGAGTTGCAAGTACACAAAAAAAAGGATGAATTCTTATTGCAATCTTGAAACCTGTACTCAAATTCCTTTATCAGAATGGAAAGCAGGGCTGCACATTTCTTGCTGTTCACAGGACTGCACTTAGCCAATGAATTAAAACACATCCAATTATTTGCTATAGCTTGAGCTGGCACTGCACTGCGTTCTCCTTTTGCCCTGGTTTCAGCTCAGACCGCATTAATAGAGTACCAGTTGGCTGTTGGTGAGCAGTGTGTGCGCTGCTGGGGCAGAGTCAGAGTGGCAGTGGGGCAGATGGTGTGGGGCAGGGGCTGGGCCAAAGTGCCAGCTGTGACAGGCTGCACGTGGGCCACAGGTTGGAGATGCCCGAATTAGAGCTTAACCCAATTTCAGAAACATTCAGAAGGCTTCCTGATTGTTTTAATTGGAGAAACACCTTTCATTGAGCTTGGTCAGCCTCACCTAAAGCTCTGGAATGGTAGACATTTAGAAACTGAAGCATTACAAGTTAATTAAAATAAAATGATTACAAGATTAGCAAAAATGAAAAGGCAAACTAACACAGCAGGTACTCGCATTACTCGGACATAAATCCTCTTCTGTCATTTTAACATGCCCAAAGGCTGCAAAGCCAGTAGCTGGCTTAGATCTTGCAGTTCCTCCAGCAGCCAACTCCTCCAGTTGACTCTCATCCAGAGGTGCAGACAAATATTACTGGCTCCCAGGTCACTTAACCTAATCCCAGCTTGTCCAGCCCAATGTTGGTTGGTGAAAGTCACTGACATGCTACCACTGGGCACATGGGTTTCTTTTCACTCAGCCTTCCCCGATTCCTGATGCTGGCTTGTACTCTCACAGCCCACAGAGACGGCCCGATCAGAGCTCCATCTCCAAGGATGGACTACCGTGGCTCCCTTGCCTGGGCTGTGACTGGGCTTCTTGGCACGTGTAAGTGGAAACCAGTGCTTTGTCATGCAACCTAACATAACCCACTTCTGCATCCACTCACAAGGGAGCCTTTCACTCTTCAAAAACAACCCACTTATCTCATTTTATTTTTTAATGGGGAAGCAAACACTGGGTTTACATTACTTTATAGTACAAGTTTATAATGTAATGATCATTTCTACACACAGTGTTGGAGCTGACATCTCAGTCGTCTTTTCTCCAAGGCTCCTCCAACAATGCTCCAATTGTGTCCCTTAAGGAATTTTAGTGCCCTTACTGCTGAACTCTTCTGAAAGCTTTTACACAGAATATAATCAACAAGTAGTATTAACAGTACCTGTATTGAGTGTATCTTGTTATCTTTTATTCATTTCAAAATATCCATAGAGCACACACAAAAACTTCAATACTGAGGGCAAAGTTACAGTACATGGAGTTTTAACTACAGTGATTTGTCCCATTCTTAGCTTTATGTGTTTAAGAAATCAGTGAATAACTATTTAATGCAATAATACACCGCCTTTAAATATTCTGCATTTGACAGAGAACTCGGTTAATATGCTCTCCAAACACTGATTTTAATCCCTCAAACACCAAAAAGGAAACTATTCAATATAGTTTTGTCCCATAACTCATGAGTGAAAGCCATCATTGCCATTCATAATCATTTCCTTGAAGTCTACATCATCATAAAATATTTATGACAGTTAACTGTTTTGAAATAATCTATGTACTTTTATTCACCTTATTTCAGTGATGAGAGACCTCACAGCAAGGATGGAATAACAATATGGAAACTAACCATCCAATTCAACTGAACACAATTGATTGAAGTCTTATTACTTCCATATGCAAGAGGAAAGTAAAGCCAACTGCACTCCTCCATTTTTGGCATTCTCAGTATGCATCGCATCCAGAAAAAAATGAATTTCACTTTTCATTTTTATTTATACTGCAAACTGGTATCAGACACACAGACTTTACTTGACTATTTAGGAAATGCGTCTAACTACATTTTAAAAAGCAAGGTCTTTATTATGCCTAAAGTGATACTCCTCTTGAAAAAGCCGTTGTGTTTTGTAAATTTTATTCTAGTCTCTTTTTCAATATAGATTTTCTTAACAGTTATCAAAAATTGTGGCCAGGATATTAAAATCTTCAAGAATGGGTACAAAGAGTAATGATAACATAGTTGTATGACAGATTCAAGTCAGCCAATTTATATAAAAGAAACTCGCTACAGATAAACTCAATATAAAGTTATATTTCTACTTATTCTGAAGTAGTATGTGTGATAAATTAACTAATATTTCTCAGGAAGAAAATCTTCACTTTCTAGAAAACATGAATATAAGATTAATAGTTACTATCATTAAAATAATATACGCTTTCAGTATGGACCAAAAGAAACAGCAATGTATTAAGGATTTAGAACTTCATTTTCTAAGAAAGTCATAGTTGTCAAGATATGTCCGTTGCATGAAAAACAACCCTAGGTGGATCAATTAGGTGAGTACCTCTCTTAGTGGAGAACTGAGGAGATAAAATACTCATTTTGTAGTTCCAGCAGTACATTGACTATCCCAGGCAATTAATCTTCCAGTAATATTTAGTTTTCATCTCAACTTCTTTTTCCTCTCCCACACACATGCTTTCCTCTTCTATTCTACTAAGTTATGAGATTTCTGCCTGAATTAAAATGATTTTCCCCAGAACTGTTGGTAATAACACACAAGACACTAAAAGACATACTCCATTGATTTTGTTTCACATTTTCGTATCAATGTAAGAGAAATCACCACTTTCAAGACTCATGGTTGGCAGTGCTTTATGACTCTACTAGTCCTATTTTAACCAGCAAGGTCACCTATAAAAGGGAGATGGAACAGTGGTCAAATACTAACTATTTTGAAAGATTATAAATATTTAGTTGCTCATGGAAAGAAAATTTTCATAGAAGAAGAAAAGTGAATTACCTTCACAGTAATGTTAAAATTAATAGAATTACTCTTTAAAAAGAAATTGTTTCACATATCATAAGAAATTTAAATTTTCTGACACCTGTTACATTTTGAGACCAATTAACTTGAGTCTTTTCTGTGAAAGGGGAAAAGGGAAAGAAAAAAAGGTTAATTCCTAAGCTTCAACTACTCTCCATATGGATTATTATTTGTGTGAACTTTAGAATCACCTTTCTCTCTAATCACTGTGATTTTACTTCTCTGAGAACAGAGTAATCAGAAAATAGTAATCTGACAGCGATGGACACAATTAGTTTAGGTTTTTCTAGAAACCTGTATCACTGACACACACGGGAAGGAAATTTAGTTAATGGGAAAACCTACATGCAATTTCAGATATATAACATGGTAGAAAACTCAAAAGGACTTCTGTTAAAGCCTGGTGCTCTAGACAGTTGATACTGATGCATGCCTCAAACTTTCAAAGCCATTCTGTGCAGACAAGCTCAACAGATGTATGGAAATCACCAAATCTCTACCAGAACCACTTTTGTAGACTGCATTCCCAATAAGGTCTCCAAACACTACATTTAACACCATACTGTACTGTACTGGATTTTGACACTTTTTCTGTTTCTAATTTCCACATTCCTACAATGAATTTTAAGAAGTTATAAGGACAGGACATGAGAAAGGTGAGAAAAACACATTAAAAGTATATCATAGAAAATATTTTTCCTTTGCATCCGACAGTACATATTCCCTGCTATTCACTGAAAGTTAAGTTTTCTAGTTTAGCAGCTGCAAAGCACAATGCATGGTAACTATATGGCTTATCATCTTCTAGATAAAGTAATGCAAGCAACAACAAAACTGAAATTAAAATATTACAGAAACTAATTTAAAAAATATGAAAACCTCAATTTTTAATGTAGTAACACATGTATAGGTCAACATATTCAGACACTTAATAAAGAAATTAATCTGTTTACCTGAACTGTGGAACTGATTTCAGACGCAAATCCTCCTGTCAAGGGAGCCTCATGGCTAATCAGCAACCGCCCGGTCTTCACTACTGACTGAAAAGGAAAAACAAACCCCAAAATGCAATCAAATTACAGCTCTAGTGATTTCTTTCATGTGTTGTGTGTTAAATATATGAATTGTGTGATATAATTAGCAGTATTTGGATGTAGCTACTTTTTCTCTCTTGCAATTTCAATGAAACAGTGAATCACCCCAAAGATCTAAACTAAATAACTAATAGACACATTTTTACATTTATTACAGTATTGTCATTCACTACAGAAGTGGTAATAGCATCTATCCTATTTAAAACAAATATGAAGAATAGTTCCCGTTGAATTTATCCTATCAATGTAAACTGTAACAGGAAAATAAGATTTCAGTTAGAGCTCAGACTCAGATAGAGCTCAGCTCGGATTCTGAAAACACTGAGAAGCTTACATGCAAAGAAATCCTTCAGTGATATATAAATCTGCCTCATCAGAGCCAATCTAAACCCATAAATCACAACTATTCAATAAGTACAGCTATTAAATATATATATAAATGTGTATGTTTAGGAAGAAAACAATTGTGCGGCGCTTCTTATTCAAGTTTTACTCGGCAATTAAAGCAACATTTTTTACTTTCAAATCTCAATGCTTGTGCAGTTTTTGTGTGACTCATTTCAGAAACAGCTACATAGTACAATATATACAGAATGTGACATAAACTACTTTTAATCAAAAAGAAATTGTATTTATGCTGAAACATAACAATTAAAGCAGAACACTTTAATCTGATTAGAGTATAAAACTTCAATACACTCAAATATCTTGAAGTTTATTGCAACTACATAAATAGGTAAAATGCCTAGGGTTCAAAAAAATATTAGAAATACAGCAGCAAGCCTCATTTTTCATAATAAACGCTTTACCATTTATAAGGTGCATAAAAAAAAATCTAAGAGATTCTGGAGAGGCAGATTAGGGAAAAAAGTCATCAGAAGAACGTATTTATAATTATTTCAGTGTCAGTTACAGTGAGATTGTAAAGATAATTATCCAGTGTACTGTCGGTGTATCATTAGTCATTAAGTGGGAAAGCCCAGGACAGTGCTAGCTATCAGGTCAATCTTTCTTAATGCTGTGATCTTCAGTCTACACCAGTACATTGTCCTGTAGGGTACCTCCATGCCCCACAAACAGAATATTCAGAATACATTCTATTCTATTAAATATTCCAGAATTTAATAGGATATTCAATAGAATACATAAATGCTGTATCTTAGCAACACAATTTTCATTCTAATGACAGTACTTTCCAAACCCTTTCACTTTCCTAAAATGTCAGACTGGCCCTCGGTAGCTCTTCCACAGAGCTGCCAGCAGGTGACAGGCCCATATGCAATCCAAAATGTATCATGCACTGTGTCTGAAACCTCCACTAGATTCAGATCGAAGCAAGACAGGAAAAGGCAGCTCAATAGCTGGAAAGAAATCCATAGCTTGGTAGGCTGTTTTCTTGTGTTTCTGAGACCTGCACTGGAAACTCATATCTAAAGACCAAAGGTATTAACTGCACTACAAATCTGTCAAATATACCAAAACAACAGCTCAACAAACAAAATTTACACTCCGGATTAAATCTTATATGATAAAACTGATAGGATTAGTCAATTTAAGATAGTCTCTTTTTTTGGAGAATCCTCTTATTTTAAACAGTGCTATTTATTCCTTTGCATATATTTGTTCTGAGAAATACACAGCTTGAAACATTACAAGCTATTATTAAAATTACAGGTTTCATCTTTCAGAACATATTAATGTGAAACATAGACACTGTTGGAAAACATGTAAGAAAATCTGCATGGGACCAAACCAGTATTCCAGCAGTTTATTATCACGAGTCCAAAACTGAGATCATTGGATGTTTAGAAAAGGATAAGAACAGGGAATTTCTCAGCCTTCAACTATTTTTACATTCTGGGTTCAGTATGGTCTCTTTTATTAACAACTTTTCTCTCATGAAAGAGTCTGCTCTCAAATAGAACTTCTGAAAACAAACAACAGCACATTTTTTAAAATCCCCTTCTCCTTTGAAAAGAACTATATTTTTACATATTTTCCCAAGGGCTTCAAACATTTGTTGCCTTTATTAATTTGCTAACAGTGAACACATAGACATGATCACCAAACTTCTCAGCCCAACTAAAAAGTACCCAGATGGCAACCAGGCTAGCAAGGCATGAGTGCACTTGGTACCCAACTCAGCTTGTTCCTGGCAGGCATGGATATCTGCACCATATTGTGCCATGCAGAAATATCTTAAAAATTCTTCTAAATATTAAAAAAGAAACAAAATGAGCACAGTACTGACCACAAATTAGCCCTGAATTTTAAAGAAGGATGCAAGTACTGCAATTCATGAATCTTACGGGCTCTACTGTATTAATTTTTGTAGGAAGTTTAGCACTTGTTCCGAAACTACAGTGTGTCTTTCAGAAAAACATGCAATGTTAATTATGGCATTTTCAGTGTTTGCAAATGCATCACAGCTATTGCTAAGTTGTTCCAGCGGCTCTCATCGCTAAAATTTTGCACTATATTTCTAAACTAATTTGGCTGACTTAACTTAAAGCTGCAGGTTCTTATTTTTCTTCTGTTTCCTAGATTGAGAAGTTATCTGTTATCAGATCTCCGCTCCCTACATGAATATGTTCAGACTGGGATCAAATCATCTCCTGACCACCCTTTTGCTAAACTAAGCAGACAGAAGTTTAAATCTTTCATCATGCAGCACATTTCCAATTCATCACTTCATCATTCTTACAATCCTTTCCTGAATCAGCTCCAGTTTACAGTGTCCTACACCCATCTAGAATCAGCATTCCATCCTTTTTCAGAACACTGTCAAATGCAGAGATAAATGTAACCTTGGTCCTGTAGTTCTTGGATGCAGAAGGTCTTTGGGTCAAAGCACAACTGCACAAATCCAGATTCAACTGACTGTGATTCCCTGTTCCTGGGAAAGAGGTGGGGTTTTTGGGAGTTGTGCTATTTCTTAGTTGTTTTTGTTTCTGTTTTTTTTTTTTTATTATGCTTTGATTTGTTTGTTTTTTGGTGGTGGTGGGATTTTTTTTTGCTTGTTTCTCTTTAACAAAGGATTGCTGGCTGCAAGAAGGATGGAATTTAGTCTGCACTCATTATTTCAAGATGTAAAATAATATTGGAATATGTTGAAAAATATAATGTATGTCTGCATTCAGCTCTGTCAGTAAACACAACTCTTCACTGGTAACTGAGTTTCTATTCCTCCGACTGTTTCCTAGCTCTACATTTTTATTTATTTATTTATTTTTAATCAATAATAGTTTTAAAGTGTTTAAAATGTTTTGCATATCTTTGATAGAAATTTTAAACAGGTTACACAGTCCACTCTGCAAGTCCTCAGTGACTTTGCTATTCTCTTTGATTAAACTGTATGGCAGGGAAAGGCAGCGTTCAGTCAGGGCATTACAAACGTCTTACTTCTCAACTAAATAAATTGTTTTTGAGCACCTATAAAAGATCTCAACTTTTAACTGTTGATCATACATTTTTAAGCTAGTTTTCCCTACTTGCTTTATTCATAGCTAATTTATTCATAGTTTTATAGATCATTCCTTTTAATTGATTTAGTACATGATTTGTTTGCGAAGGGTGGGGTTTTTTTGTTTGTTTAGTTGGTTGGTTTTATTTTTTGTTTTGTTTTGTCTTCTTAGTTTGTTTTAAATGAAGAAGTTCCATAAGATATCAGTAATTAATAAACTACTGGTTGAAAGGTACAACAAACAATATGGGTCTCTATATGCCCTCTTCATTTTTATTATGACATTGTTATCTCTATCAAAGATGATAATGCTACATAATAATAACTGCAACAGGTGTAATTTTTTCTTACATTGCCATGTGAAAACTTTTTTCAACTATATAGTTTAGAAGAAAGCTGTAATCTATGATTTTTATTAAAAAAAAAAAATAAAAATAAAGCTTTTCCTTTTTCCTGCATTGATTATGTTCTGGAATGGCTAAGTTAAATAATTTCTACATTTTCTACATTTTCATACGGAATTTTAATCCTATTTCCTAGAAGCAAGGTTGCTAAGAAGTTAAAGGGAAAACTTTCAAACTAATAGCAAGCTATAGAACACAGAGGACATGAATTGTTAATATTGTTTGCAGATATCAATGTTCTTCTATAAAGTATTAATTTCATTTTAAAATTAAACTACAAAATGTTACTGCCTGTCACATCATGAGTCAAGCATTCAATCTCTAAGGTAACCAAAACCCAACATTTGCAGTCCAAATATTTTATCAGACTGCCACTAGCAGCTCTGTCTGCAGCACAGTAGACATGACTAATGGGGTCCTCACTCTTCAAACTGAATCCAAAATAACAATGGCATTAAAAAGGATAAAAATTGCTGAAGAAAACAGTGGTTAAATTGGCACAATGTAATAAATTAACTACCATAGAATTTTGTCACCTTTTAAAGAGGCAGGCACTTGGAGTGCTGGTTTGACTTTTTGTTTTTTTTTCATTTGGATTAGCTAGAGAAATAGATGATTTTTCTAGGAATGAAGTATTTTGTCCCCTTAAACCCAGACACTTTTTGTATTCACAGGAAGGCCTGATTCAATTTCCCCAGCAGATCTCTATCTTTCAAAAAACCCAGCCGTTACCCTCAGTCCTACCTCAGCAGGAGATCCAAATATTTTAATTGCAGCTCATGTAAAGGACTTTAAAAAAAAACATCTCCAAAGAATATGATGTGGCTTTGGAGACTGACACTGATACAAAATGCTTCTTCTTTACATCTATAACCATAAGTTATTGCTGGCTGATCTCTAAAATAAAAGGACATACTTCTGAAGGTGCTAAGCGTATCTGTAGCCATTTCCTATCTTAAATTAAATGGAACTGGGAGCTTTTGTTTATTAGCTTTAGTAGCAGTTCACTGAAGAAAGTGAGAAGCAGCATCTGGTTATTCAGAGAGCAGGGGCCTCAGCCATTCCACATTTTCACAGCC